AGAGAAGTCGATTGTTTTTTTTCTTTTCTTTTCTTTTTTTTTTTTTTTCTTCAAGCAAAATACATAGTCACCAAATGGAAACGAAGGTCTGACTGGGGATCTCAGGGTGATTGGAGGGGAAAGGGGACGCAGCACCGAGGGAGACTGCAATATTTTAAGGGAAGCAGTAGATTTAGCCATCCGGTACTCGGTGTGGATGCAGTAATTATGCATGCACGGGTAGATGTTTATTGTATGCATGCATATATATGTACAAACGTGCGCAACCAAAACATGTACATGTCCATTCACCCTCAACCCTTTACTCTTCTGCAAGGTGCTGCATTTCCCTCTTTGCAGCTGAGTAAAAAAAGTCTGTTTTATTCTCACTTTGGGGAAACTTCTCCCTTCTATTGCTATTTACAGACCATTTTAAGCCAAATTTAAGCCTAATGCTTGGCATCCTCTTCTCCTCTCCGTAGTGGTTGTTATTCTTCTTTTTTATCTTCTCCTCTCCCCCCTCCCCCAAATCCTGTTCTTACTCTGTTTTAGCAAGGAAACACATGCGTACGTATTTGACAGTAAGCGATCTTACCTTGGGTAGAAAGTCCTTGCTGAATACACATAACTGAAAAGAAAATGAATCCAACATAAGCCAGAAAGATCCCCATCATTCCAAGACGAAGAAAAAGTCACATCAGGGTAACAAAAGCCAAAGGTGCCCTCAAAAAAAGGAAGAATTTATATGTGATAACGTATCTATGTATATGAACAGAAGGAGATTTTAAAGTATTACAAAAAGGCTCTGTATTGTAGCCCTAGCTGCGACACTGGCAGCATTCTGCTACTCAGCGGAGTCTTTTTCTTTGGAAAGAGCGAGTATTGCAATACAGTGAGGTTTAGATGAGCTGTCTCAGGCGCTGTGTTGCTTGAAGTCCAGATTCAGACTAAAAAAAAAACCCTTTGAAAAGTGGGTATCAGCTGCTTTCTGTGCCTTTTTTCAGCTACCTGGCAGCTCCGTCCAACGTCAGCTCCTGCTGCTCAGGATGGCGTGATGACTGCCCTCCCTAAACAGTGATCCAGCTTGGGAAGTGGGGAGTGGGGGAAAGAAGGAGGAGGAGGAGGGGTGGGGGGGGAGAGAAGTCTACTGTGCTTGTATTGCTTCAACTTTTCCCTCTAATGGCTGCAATGATGCCTTTAACCCTTCAATCTCTCCTTCTTCTCTACACTTCTCTACCTGTTCTGTTTTCTACTGGTTCACATGTTGGTAAAAACCTGCTTTTTTTTTTTTTTTTTTTTTTTTTTTTTACAGCTTACAGCTTGTGATTGTAGAGAGAGCAGGGAGCCTTTATTGTACTGATGTAATCTTTGGTCTTACATCCCAAAACACTCAGTGGCTAAGAGGGCAATGCAGTGGTTTGATTTTTGGTGAGTTAAGCTATTTCTGTTTTCTCCTTTTTCTCTCCCTCTTACAGGATCTGAGGGGAAAACAGTTACCCAGGTATGCTACTGCACTTGCTATTGACTGCTTCAAATAGCTATGCTCCTAGCATCTTACATTAAAATGTTGTGCATTTTGTCCTCAAAGACATATGAAGAGGACAGTGCTTAAAATGTGCATGTATTTGTATAGATTTATGAGGAGAAAATTTATTTAGCTAGATAAAAATGGATTTTGGCATCCTATAGATTAATCGTAGTAAAAAAAAAGTGTATGTTCAGCAGAGAAGGTGTTTACAACATATTAAAGAATGCTTCCTCCTGCAGTGAATGTTTTCTTCTCTCTCCCCTGTTTTTTGTCTATGTATATTAATACCATTTAGATGAGAGACTAACCTTGACTGTATTAGGTGTTCAAAACAACATGAGAAACATCTGCACTGAGGGAAGTTCTCTGACTGAAATCATAGTGCTGGTTATAGTAAGAAGCCATCTATAAAGTGCTTGTTGCACTAAGCAGGCACCAAATACCTTTACAAGGCTGAGGCAAAGACTGGATGGAATCAGAACAGAGCACCTTATAGTCATTCAGACTGCTAAATAGCTCATCTCAACTGCTAATCACAGACTAAAAAGATATAAACAGGTAAATTAGAGAGTATTTTATTCATATGGATAATATACTTTTCTACTGGGTGAAGCATTTGGACAGGTTCTGTTATTCCTAGCAATGGGAGTGCGGCAGCTCCACAATGGTACAAGATGCAACTTTCACCTTACTTAGTACACCATCCCAATTCTTACATGCATGCCAGACCTCTGACATAGTTGCAGAGATCTCTTTCACAGAATTAATGTCATCTGACTGGAAAAGAATCCTTTTATCTGCATTTTAACATTTATTTGTTTCATAACTATATGAGTTCCCATCATTATTTATTTAACTAAAGGAGGTATTTCCCCTTGATAATGGTCTATTCCATTGATGTCATATTTTAAGCATAGCAGTGATTCTCAGTAAAAAATTAGTACAATATATCAAATATAGTTGAAATGCTTAAAATGATCCCCCAAATAAGAAAACAATTATGTTGCCTGAAAGACTTTCTATTACCACAGAGTTTTAATTACTTTAAAGGAGGTCATGATGGATGTATCCAAAACCAAAGGAAATCTGCAAAGCAAAAAAAAAGCACAAGTCTTTAAAGCTGATGGAGCTAAATTATCCAGAGTAGCCAATGACTGTGAGAGAGATTCAATGATTAGACAAACAACATAAATATCTTTACAGGTTCAGATGGTGAGGGTTTCAATAATTTCTAAAAAAAACCCAGGTACTTTTCAGATGGGCAAGCAGAAATCCTAAGTCATTTCTGCAAATATGAAGACTGATTATAGGATTCACTTCAGACCCGTGTACGTCATCAGTAATCAGTTTAAATTACAAATTAGAGATACATTATTAGCAGTCAAGTTAAATGTAAATTAGGAGGAAAAAATTCTAAGCAGCATCACCTGGTTTAGAGGGAAAGCAGAAAACAGAAATAGATCACTTGTTCTTTCTCTCTTTTTTTGCCTATTCCAATTCAAGGCACTTGGTAGATAAATTTAATTTTAGCATTTTGGTAATTTAAAAGCAAATATAATTCTCACAAAAATATTACAGTCATGGAACTTACTGAATATATTATTGGCACAGGGAAGTACAAGATAATATGTATGGTTATTAAAATATCAAAACAGAGGTTATATTTATTAGGAAACTGATCTAATGAAAAAGATCCTAAAACCTGGATGCCTGTTTATTATTTTTATTTTCATGTGCTGAATCAGGAGATATGATTCTGTCAAATATTGCTAGCTGAAGTAATAGAAATAATCCACCTCACACTATCAATGTTAAATTTCACCCTGATGGAGACGATTTGTTCTCAATCAGCCGTTCTGTATGAATCTGGGCAGTGAATGTATGCTGTAACCTTGTCTGGATTCTCTGCCTTTTGTGCTGTAGGAAGGGTGCTCATCAAGCCTAACTTACATGAGAAGTGTCAATTGTGCTGTGTGGCATGATTTATATGGGCTATGTGAGGGTTTTAGCGTCTCTTCCCCCCACCCCCTTTCAGTGATTGTAGCAGATGAGTCATCACTGGACACTCTCCCAGGTCATAGCCAGAACGTGTATGCGCAGGGAATGGCTTTTCAAACATGCCAAAGAAATGTCGTAAGGGAAGTCCCGTTGATGCAGCTCTGGAGCTGAACTGTGGTATTCTACCCTCTGTCTTATTACTACCACAGCACACATTCCAGATCAGCTGCTTTTGTACGAGGCAATATTCAAAACCAAAAAGGCCACGCATGTTCACCACTCTGCCCAGTTTGCAGTCCCCCAGATTATGTGTCTCTTTTAACTACTGAGGGAAAAAGTGAGTGCTGAGGTCATCATTCTAAGCTTAGTAAAAGTCAGAAATGAGAGCTGTTGTACTGCCAGTCAGCAGTAAGGCTGGAGTGCTTTGATCCCACAAAGACCTTGCTCATATTCTGGTATAGGCTTCCTTGCCCTGCAGGAAGCTGGTCAGCTCATGCCCTATCTCTTGGCATGAGACCGTGACCGAGTGTTGCTATCCAACAAACTCAGTTAAAAATGAAAAAAATGTTCTTTGGAGTACAGCTATTTGATGAAAAAAAATGGTATGCTCCCATTTGGAGCACTGCCTATGGATTCATATTTACGAGTTGGAGTTCTGTATTGAAAAAGAATTTCCTACACTAATTCCTGATCTTATTTACAGTCTACCTAAGTCTGGATCTGAAAGAAATTATTGATGCTTCTAGAAGGAATGTGGATAAGCACATCATAAGGTTGATTTACAGGGGAGAAAGAACCTAGAATACCTAGAATATTGTAGAACAGCAAAACAGCAGAATACCTGTATGAGGCTACACTGGAAATAGATCAAACACTCCTTCACAAAGCTATCTGGTCAGAGGGACCTTTTCTGGAGCTACTGTGGAAAATCCATTGTACTAGAAATTAATAACCCAGAATATTATTCAATAGTTTCTCTGTGTAAGCAAGTTGGAAAAAATTATTTCTGCTCAGGAGATCATTTCATAGGTTGGAGAGTCTTGCGTCTTGTTCTGCCGGAGGTATCTTACAGGCCTCCTTAAAGAGCTGAGAAGAAAACAGTAGAAAGATTAATGTGACAACATCTGAAGTCTTCTGTAAGTCAGTCAGTTCCAAGCTCAGTCTTTTATGGAGAGTTTACTGGTTAATGAGCTACTGTTTCTCTCCAGTGACTTTTATTCTGGTGTCTGTAAAATGTGTTTGGTGGATGAACCTAGCCAGAGTTGATAGAATTACCTTAAAATGGCTCCACTTCCTTTCTTTCTTGTAATGACACAGTAATTGCATTGGGTAATTATTTGGGATCATTTGTATGGAGGTCTATTATGTTTAAGTAGTAAATTTAAATGTATTTAAACAATATTTCCAGTTTTCATACTATAATCAATTACAGATAGCTGTACAGTGTGAGGTAGCCATATGATACACACATACTTTGTCATAACTTTGTGCAAGTCAATTCATGGTACTTGCTAGTAGCGGTCTGCTGGAGACAAGTGATCTCTTTGGATACATATGAATAATTCACTTAATTACTTTGGTTGCTTGATGTCAAAGAAGCTTGTATAGGTAGAATTGGCCCTTGGGACTCACTTTCTAACAATGTTGTGTGGTCTTCCTGACCAGAGTAAAAGGAATGATCGGAGCAAAGCATTTCGCTGTCCTACTGTTCTTTTTCCACAACATTGTAATTCAGAGCTTGCATCATTTGACCAAGAGCATGAATTGCATTGTTAAAGCATGTTTAGGGCATCTACGACCGGTTTATCAAGGGTGGATTGTTACTTCGTTTTATATTCAGTAGGAGAAGTCCTTATCTTTGAACTTTTTCCCTTTTCATCAGCTTATCAGGCAGGCCAGAGGCTATCCCTGATGGTATATATTATTGGGTTGTTATTCTTGCAGCAGCTGTTTTGATCACAGACATAGCAGATGCACTCATAAGAACAGTAGTTTTGGTCCCACAATTAGAAGCAGCTGAACATTTTTATAAAGACATAGGTAAGACTGACCTTATCATTTTGAAAGAGGCTCGAGCAATTAAAACTAAGTATTCATAATCACTACTATTTGTAGCCATCAGTGTGAATAAAACCATATATTCAAATGTATCTGAGCATTTTTTATATAAGAATTCTTGAGTATGCACGCCTGTGTGATGAGCTCTTTAGATACCTGAAAGAGAAAGGAACCTTACTCACTGGCACTTTCAGCTGTTTTGATTGTTACTGTTATTTCAGAGGTGGGTGTACCATTTCAAAGAAAATTTTGTGTATTCTAAAAAAACTCAATACTTAAAAAGTGAAAAAGGAGGCTGCTGTTTTTAGCTGAGGACTGATCTTTGACTTTGGTAAACCGAGTGCTCATATGAACCTCTTCCAGCATATCGCTGCTTTCAGTACCTATGCAATAAATAATTTTAATGTGAAGGAGGTCTGATGAACAAACTTAATTCGTAATGGGGAAAACAAACAAACAAGGTGTTTTTTTTGGTTTATGTTTCTTGGTTTTCTATTTTATT